ACAAAAAAGATTTTTGAGAAGCCCACCTAAGTGGGAAAGCTTGAAAAGGCAGGTTTTTCTGCGGATGAAATTTCACATGTCCGTTTGTCAATTTAAGATTAACCACAACATTCTGTACACAAAAAGAAGACTCTTAAGAGATAAGATAGCGGAGAACGACAGATGTTACCCTTGCAGTGGCAGTCAAACACTGAACCATCTCTTTGTTGAATGTGATTTTAGTTAAGTATTTTGGATCGATTTTAAACATGCAAATCAAACTCAAACAGCGTGATATTTTATTTGCTTTTCATCCCGGAAAACAGTCTTTTTTAGGCATTAACTACTGTTTGCTTGTGGCCAGAAATTACGTCTATATTTCTGCAAAAAATGTAGACCCCTTCTGTTTTACTTCCTATCTCAAAGTTTTGAAAAACAAAAAAAGCCCGGGACAGACAAAAATAAGATTCGAGACCTTGTTACTCTTTAGAGCACTTTTGTGTTGTTCGATTCTTGTGAGCGTTTGTAAGACTGTAATTCGTAGATTTTTTCAGTTAGCTATTTTAACTAGTTGTAATTTTTTTTTGTAAGTTGTTACATTTTAATTTTCTGTAATTTTTTTTTCTTTTGAAATTGTGTTGTATGTTACCTTTTTCAGTGAATAAATAAAATAAAGGGTTATTTTAAAAAAAAAAATCAGGACACTGTAACTGTATGATTTAGACACTGAAGATAGTATAGTAAGGATAACAAAGTGTGTGCCGGGGCGGAAAATCTCCAGGGGGACAGCTCGCGATCAGTTTGTATTAACAAATACTACAGTTGTAATGTGCGGAAGAAGGCGGTGTGCTCCGAGTGATTAGTTCTTAACATGTGTTCATAAATGTACAGAAACCGGTAACGGGAGAATTAACCGCTGTCGCTTGCTGTCATATTCTACCAGGCATATGATGAGACAGGAGAAGTGTTCCCTATTTGGGGTGAGTGTCTCGGACTTGAATTAATTGCCATGATAGTCAGTGGTAGGGACTTAAGTCTTGGCCAGTACGACCAGTCTTTTCTCAGCATTACAGATGCAAGGAACATAAGCTTGAAGCTTGATCTGCCTCCAGGTAATGAACCATTTAATTCCCATACTATAGTTAAATAAGACTTTAAATAATGAAAATAAATGGACCGTAGGTATGGTACGGTACGTTGTATGTGTCCTCAGAGAAAGAGGCATTAACAATTTGAAGTGACAACAACGACAACAACATCTTTAATTTAAGAACCGATACTCCCTTTGGTATTGGCTGGCCCAAAGATTATGTCAATGTACTTCGCATATGCTTTACAACAGACCAAATCAAGAATCAAGATTGCTTTCCTTGGAGAAATGTCTTAACGTCTGGTCTTCTAGGGACTTGACTCTGTATGGGAAAATCAACATAGTAAAATCTCTAGCACTCTCTAAATTGACCTTTGTCGCAGCCGTTCTTCCAATTCCCGAAGATTTTATAAAAAGTGTTAATAAACAAATCGTGATTTTATTTGGAACAACAAGATTCCAAAGATTGAAAAAAAACGATGATTGGTGAAAAAAGGAGGGGGATCAGGTATACCCGATTTTGACATAATTAACAAATCGCTTAAAGCAGCTAGGGTTAAAAGATTATCCACTCCTGAATGCGTTATATGGAAATCACCGCCACTTGAGTATCTAAGAGACGTCGGAGGAGAACTTATTTTCAACTGCAATTTCTCACTTAAAACTCTCCCGCATCTATCTGATTTACCATTATTTTACAAACACGTGCTCAATGCATGGCAGAGGATAGTGGCTAACACTCCCTTAAGCAAGAATGAGGTGGAAAATGGGGTTATTTGGAACAATAAATTTGTTACAATTGCAGGAAAGTCAGTATTCTATCGATCGTGGTATGAAGCCGGAGTTAAATACGTAAAAGATCTGTTAACTGAGCATAGAAATTTTATGACACTTCATGTTTTCCAGCATACCTTCGGCATTACAACAAATTTTTTCCAGTATTTAGGGCTTTTAAACGCTATTCTCGCGAGCTGGAAAAAGAAACTAAAGAATAGCTACGAGGAAAATAAAACTAACGACTGCCAAAATAAGATTACTGATTCACAAAATATTTCAAGTAAGCCGGCGGACGCTTAGACAAATACTGCGCTGACAAAAAAGATTTTTGAGAAGCCCACCTAAGTGGGAAAGCTTGAAAAGGCAGGTTTTTCTGCGGATGAAATTTCACATGTCCGTTTGTCAATTTAAGATTAACCACAACATTCTGTACACAAAAAGAAGACTCTTAAGAGATAAGATAGCGGAGAACGACAGATGTTACCCTTGCAGTGGCAGTCAAACACTGAACCATCTCTTTGTTGAATGTGATTTTAGTTAAGTATTTTGGATCGATTTTAAACATGCAAATCAAACTCAAACAGCGTGATATTTTATTTGCTTTTCATCCCGGAAAACAGTCTTTTTTAGGCATTAACTACTGTTTGCTTGTGGCCAGAAATTACGTCTATATTTCTGCAAAAAATGTAGACCCCTTCTGTTTTACTTCCTATCTCAAAGTTTTGAAAAACAAAAAAAGCCCGGGACAGACAAAAATAAGATTCGAGACCTTGTTACTCTTTAGAGCACTTTTGTGTTGTTCGATTCTTGTGAGCGTTTGTAAGACTGTAATTCGTAGATTTTTTCAGTTAGCTATTTTAACTAGTTGTAATTTTTTTTTGTAAGTTGTTACATTTTAATTTTCTGTAATTTTTTTTTCTTTTGAAATTGTGTTGTATGTTACCTTTTTCAGTGAATAAATAAAATAAAGGGTTATTTTAAAAAAAAAAATCAGGACACTGTAACTGTATGATTTAGACACTGAAGATAGTATAGTAAGGATAACAAAGTGTGTGCCGGGGCGGAAAATCTCCAGGGGGACAGCTCGCGATCAGTTTGTATTAACAAATACTACAGTTGTAATGTGCGGAAGAAGGCGGTGTGCTCCGAGTGATTAGTTCTTAACATGTGTTCATAAATGTACAGAAACCGGTAACGGGAGAATTAACCGCTGTCGCTTGCTGTCATATTCTACCAGGCATATGATGAGACAGGAGAAGTGTTCCCTATTTGGGGTGAGTGTCTCGGACTTGAATTAATTGCCATGATAGTCAGTGGTAGGGACTTAAGTCTTGGCCAGTACGACCAGTCTTTTCTCAGCATTACAGATGCAAGGAACATAAGCTTGAAGCTTGATCTGCCTCCAGGTAATGAACCATTTAATTCCCATACTATAGTTAAATAAGACTTTAAATAATGAAAATAAATGGACCGTAGGTATGGTACGTAACGTTGTATGTGTCCTCAGAGAAAGAGGCATTAACAATTTGAAGTGACAACAACGACAACGTCTTTAATTTAAACACATAAGCTACGATAACTTATGGGGCCGTGTAAAAAATGTTAATAGGATAATAAAACAAATGAAAAATGCAAAAAAGATATGAATAAAATCAATAAAGACTAAATCACCGTCAATTTGGGGACCCATTTGCGGTGACTCTTAACTAAAGTTCAAGTTTCTGAGGGCAGGAGACTTTTTTGCCCTTTAAGCATAATCTCGGGCGCTGACAGTGGATGGTTCTAAAAGATTCCAAACAATGGATCCTCTGTATGCTATGTAGTTTTTATGTATAATAAGTTTCAAAACGTTGTACGCTAACACAATGTTGATGACGGAGGTGGATTTCCTTTGGATTAAATGTTCCAAGCAGGATGGAGTATGTGATTATAAATGTTATAAATTAAGGTGGCTATTTTAACCTTATAAGTGTCGAATAAAGAGTCCCACTAAGTAATTTTCTTACATCTACAGAGGGCATGTCGCGCGGGAGGTTATATATAACTCTAGCAGCCCTACAATGTATGGGTTTCAAAGCGTTAAATTCGTTCTTATTTGTACAACACCACCAAATTGGTAGCGCATATGTAACCGAGGGTAAAATAACTTTAAAATATAGATCTAAAAGCGAATTTCTAGGTAAAAAGCGACTGCGTTGATCAGATTTAGCTTGTTTAGCTTTTGACCACGCCTCTTTACCTTTTTCAGACTATGAGTCAACTAAATTGTTAGGGTCTGCCCCTAATCACATTATTAAGTATTTAAGAGAGGAAGACATCAGCTATAATAATCATTTCAGAGGAATCACACCAGAGGTAAGTTATTTGTACTTATTACTAATAGTATGACACAAACATCCACTGACGTTAGTCTGTAGTAGAAATCAGACTATCTAAGAATTGTGTGAGTCCGCAATGAATTGAGGTAGCAAATTGTCTCAGTATCTCTCATCAAATTCGGTAACTTTTGGTTACTTGACACTGAGGTCTGGGTAACTGACTCGTAAACTAAGAAGTAATGAGATAGCAGGGGCGTAGGCAGGATTTCTCAAAGGGGGGGGCACACTGTGTCAAAGTGAGGGTACTCACCAGATTGTCATGTCGTTTTCCCCACCTGTTGTAGGTTGTTTACTTAAAGGAAAAGGTCACTCCAAAAAGCTAACTTTTTTGTCTTCGCCTGTGGCAAATAAACATTCAGCTTTTTCACTCACCGAAGTTCCAGCCGCTAAAGTGCCTGCTATCCTGAAGAAATTCTTCTCGAAAGAGACGACTTCGGAGGCCGCCATTTTGAACTGTATTTGGCAGCCAGGCCGTGTTTATGTGACGTAATTCCGTACGACTCGAAATTGTCGGGAAGGAGAAAAACCTGCAACTGACTTTGCATTCCTCACAAGGTCAGCAAAATGTATTATTTTTTCCAAGCTATTATCCACTTCCCTATCTTCGCTGCTTTCATCTTCAGAGTGTGGAGCATGTTTGGTCACAAATACCACGGCTTCAGAGCAGCCATAGCCCAAAGTGGTAGCTGAAAGGCTTGTCGGAAGCCATTTGCACAAAATGTCTTGGACAGAATGACGTCACGAAAACGCGGCCTGGCTGCTGAGTACTGTTCAAAATGACGCAACGATGTCGAATTTTGGGCTTCTTTGGAGACGAATTTCATAAGGAAAACCTTCGCTTTAGAAGCTGAAACTTCGGTGCGTGACTAAAATTAGTGTGAGGTTTTTATTAGCGTTGACAAAAATATACGATTTCTGAAGTGACCTTCTGCTTTAAAAAAGTCTTACAAAAGGGAGGGTCACGGGCACCCCAGGGCCCTCCCCTGGTTACGCTCCTGGATAGGCAGGGAACATTGGCACGTCTACTTCTATGTCCATTGTCAACGTCGTTTGCATTATTTTTATGTACATTATGAGTGCTTTTCATTTTCTGCAAACAGACATTCCTAAAAGATGAAAAGTTAAGAGAGTTTTTCCAGATAGTTTCAACAAATAAGGACAGGAAAGGAAAAACGTTCATATCAACTATGGAAGGTAAACAATTACGTTACGGCAAGAGAGGATGAAAGAAAGGAATGTTGAACTCCATATACTCCTTATTCCCAGGGTAATCCCTCTCAAACAAGAGATTATCAAGGTAAGAGAGTGAATCTCCCATATCGGCGTTCTGCCCAAGGTGATCCCTCTTCAGTTAGTTTTAGACATGGTACCCAGTTCTTCCGAGGATGTTACTCAGGCGATGCGTGGACAGCCGAAGCGACTTTCTCGAAACTACCTCAGACGAAATGGCGGGAACGTCATTTTATACGTTTTGGTTTCGTTTCATACTAGAGATGTTTTCTGCACTCTCAGCCGCCTTTTTGTTCAGCCGGGCTTTCGTTTGTGTTTTGTTAATAATAATAAATAAATAAATAAATAAATAAATAAAAGACTTTATTTAACGAGGGAAACATAATTTACTGTTTGCCAGTTGTTTACAATTGCCTTTTATTCGGTTTTAGGAAGTTTAATTAAACAGACTTCAACGGTAACGGCAACGAGTACAATGGCTGTGTAAGCGTGCGTCAGATTCTTTGTTCATTTCTTTGTTCACAAAAGGCCACAAAACAACAACGTGAAATAGCCACATTCTGCATATTCGAGAGAACGTGAACTATACGACGGCCAATTTTTAAAATTTCTCTTTCGAATTTTAAAGCTGTCTTACATATTCTGTTTGGGATATTTCTGACAGTATACACAAACTGAATGAATCTAAATTCTAGCGAGATTCGTAGGTTTAATATTACGTCGCTTTTTAATCGACGTTGTCTTTGGCGTTGTTGCGTTGCTGCTTAAACTGCTTTTAGCTTGCTTTTTGCTACTTGCGTAACGAGCGTCTGCCGATCATCTGTTTGTTCGGTTGCCTAGCTTGTGTTTGGGCGCTTGTTTGCTTTGCACTCGTTTGTCTAAACATTTCTCTGCCGTTCATTCAGTTGTTATTGTTTGTGCAGGAGAGATCCTTCTCTCTTCTCTTAAACTCCTATTAAAGTTTCGAAATGTATTAAAACATACCGAGAACCGAAGCTCCTTTGCTCGTAATCAAAATATCAAAGAAGACATCTCCACAGCGTTGGAGGTTTTCCTTTCCTTTGAAATGATACGAAGCGAAACATAAACAGATCCTCCATGAAAATATCCACGCAACGCGCGAGTAATATCCGCCGAAGAACTGGGTACAATGTCTGAAAATAGCTTAAAAGGGATTACCTTGGATATAAGGCCTATATGGAGGATTCACTCTCTTACTTTAATAATCTCTTGCTTTCGAGTCATTTTTAAATCAATCCCGACTTTGATAATCTTGGTAGGTTCTAGAAATCACCAATCGTGTGACGCGGATTGAGCACACGTGCACCGTGGACCCCAAGAAGCTTTAAAGGCATTTTATCCTCCACAAAAACATCCATGCAACGCGCATGGTAACATTATCTTCAGAAGAATGGGTATCATGTGTAAAAATAATTCTGGAAGGAATAAGGGCTATACCTTTCATCCTCTCTTGATTACTGCAAGTATCAAATTAGAGCTTAACAAGAGTGGGTTCTGTTAGTAATGGTACGTCATGAACGTCAGCATCCAATTTTTCCTCTCAATGTTAATACTAGTAGTAATGGACGCTTATATGAGCCGTAACCAATCAGGAGCCGAGAAAGACAATAGGCTATTGTTTGGTGAACAATGGATTCTATTGTTCTCCAAATCCAGGATGGCCGCCACAAATTTCAGCCAATCAGGAGCCGAATTAATAATTCAAGGTGGCGGCGCCCACGAAAGTCGGCCATGTTGGAAAACAGCCCACCAGCCTCGACGGAGGACTTGGGATCGGTCTCAGGGATTTCCATGGCGACACAAATCACGCCAGGGTCACGCAAAAATTGTCATGCAACTTCAAACTCGATACTTACAGTGTCCTGTGGTCCTAAACGACAGA